AAATTTTTTTAATTGACAAAATTGTATCTTTCTCATATGCAACATGATGTTTTGAAAGATGTACACCTTGTGGAATAACTACATCAAACTAATTAACACACACATTACCTCACATACTTATTTTTTGTGGTGAGAACACTTAAAAATCTCTCAGCAACTTTCAAGAATATAATACATTGTTATTAACTATAGTCATCATGTTATACAACAGATGTCTTGAATTTATTACTTCTAACTGAAATTCTGTATCCTTTGATCAACATCTCCCTAATCCTAACCTCCCAACATTCACCTGCCCCCCACCACCTGCCCACCTTCCCAGGCCTTGGTAACCACAATTCTGCTTTCTGCTTCTATGAATTCAGTGCTTTTGGATTCCACATATAAGTGAGATCATGTGGTAGATGTCACTTTCTGAAAGCTTCCTTGTGTGTGTTCCTTATGTACCCTGTACTTAACAATTACACTCCAAATTAGTACTACTCTAAAACATATAGTTTGTCTCTTTTAAACCCACTTTAGATTGTAGGGTTTATAAGGGTAAGTGTGAAGTTACTTCGTTCATGGATAGTTAGATCTTTACCACCTAGCATAGCACCTGGCATTTTTGATTAATTAAGGAGATATTCCAGGATTATCAGATATATCATTTTATTGAAAATAATGTTATTGTCAACCTAACTTGTATTTATTGAAAAATAATAAATAAAATATGCTCTCCTATTACTTTAAAAAGTCTGTAAGAGTTTTATAAGTTGTTCTCTTTTTCTAAATAAGAGAAAACAGTGACATAAAAAATTATTCCCCACTTGGGCGTGGTGGTACGCATCTGTAGTCCCAGCTACTCAGAGACTGAGGCAAGAGGATTGCTTGAGCCCTTGAGCCCAGGAGTTTGAGGTTGCTGTGAGCTAGGCTGACACCACAGCACTCTAACCCAGGCAACAGAGCAAGACTCTGTCTCAAAAAAAAAAAAAAAAAAAATAAAAAAATTATTCTTAGCCAGGCACGGTGGCTCACACCTATAATCCCAGCACTCTGGGAGGCTGAGGCGGAAATTGCTTGAGCTCAGGAGTTCCACACAAGCCTGACCAAGAGCAAGATCCCATCTCTACTAAAAATAGAAAAACTATCCGGGCATCATGGCACACACCTGTAGTCCCAGCTATTTGAGAGGCTAAGGCAAGAGGACAATTTGAGCCCAGGAGTTTGAGGTTGCAGTGAGCTACGGTGATGCCACTGCACTCTACCCAGGGTGACAGAGCATGACTCAGTCTCAAAAAAAAATAATTATGCTTTATAAAGTTACACTCTATTGATTAATGGGCAAGGAATAATGGTGTTAAATTTTTTTGTTGTATAACAATTTCTTACAAGATGAAAGTGGAAGGGAAATACGTAAGTAGATTTGTTTATTATTGGGGAACAGGAATAGGATGGTCATTCCAGAAGAGGGCTTTAGAGGTTCTGGGTTTGATTGGGAATTAATGTTTTATGCCCAACCTCAAAGTATAAAATAAATTCTTGTGGATGTGTATGTGGCGGGGTAAGGGAGAAGTGGAGGTAGAGAATGGTAGATAAATGGTAGAGGTAGGTAATTATGGTGCCATGTTATTAGGTATTAAAGATTTTGTGAGAACATTTAGCTATCATACTGAGATAATTGTGAATAAATGTCGAGGGCTCATATAACTGGAGAACAGTTTTGCTCTACATTAAGTGTTGAAGAGCCATAAAATATGTCTTGTGGATTGATGGAGGTTATTACATGTGCCACATCTCCTTTGACTTGACTTATCCCAGGTTTTGAATAATAATTATAGAAAGATCTAACATTCGTAGAATGCTTACTATGTTCCAGGCACTGTGCTAAGGGCTTTATTTACATGAGTTATTTAATCAAATCTCCATTTTATATTTGACAAAATGTACCAAGAAGAAATTTCTGCATGGTAGTTACTGATGGTTTAATGATTAGGCAGTCTCACTCCAGAGTCCAGGCTCTCGGTCATCTAACTGTACTGCCATCCAATGAATGATGAAGTCATTAATACTCCATAATACTTAATTCTGGTATTATTTGCTGCTGTAATTATCAGAATTATTCTGGTGTTTAGAAAATAAAGAATAGGTATCCAAACAAATGATCACTGATGTACCTTTCTTTACTGTCTTTTACAGGGAAATTTAGGAACGTTTTTTATTACTAATGTGAGAATCGTGTGGCACGCAAATATGAATGACAGTTT